ATGACTGAGATGCTTTGTAAGTTAATAAGTTAATATTTTATACATTTCTCATACTCTTCTGCAGCACTGCAGTGCTAACTTCTTGACAGACAAAGATACTAGTGTCAGAGACTTTAATAGTGAAGAATGAGTTTGATGAGAATATAGTTATTGATGAGTAGATTCTGAGATTTCTTCTTTTTACTTTTTCAGCAGGCTGCAGTCTCACTAGAATAGTAGCAGTCTGTAAATTAATAATATTAATCTTTTTTATTAATTTCAAATATCTCTTTTCTCTAACTGCTTCAGGAATTTTACACTTATATAGTCTTATTAAACTTCTAAAAAATTCTTTGAGAGAAAATAGAAGAAGAGTGCTACAGAGTTTATAAGATACTAACTCATCATTATAAGATTATCTCTAAAAAACTGTTTGAGAAAAATGAGAAGTCTTAAGCAGTATTTCTTATTCAATATCTCTGATGTGTAATGAGATAATCTTTACTAGCTGTCTCATAGCTTATAATCTCTTTCTCAGCATTTTTCAAATGCTCAAGCAGTTCTTATAAATTCTCTGATAATGAATAATCTTCTTATTTAATAAGGTATTGAAGCTTGCTGTAATATATTCACTTATTCAATATTTTCTTCATAAGATATTCAGTATCACTCTTAATCTTGATATTATTCAGCTGAGACAGCTCTGTCTCAGAGCATTACTTATAGAGCTTTAAATAGAAAATATGAAAAACAGAATGAATTGATTTCAATTCTATGAGTAATTTTAACTTATATGTCTGCTTACTCATCACTCTTATTACTGAGAAAGATTCTAGTCATCACTTACTAAGCTTCTTACACAGTCTTATTATCTTAATATTCTTTGTTGAAAGTAGCACTTGATTCTCTATTAAGAACTTTATTAAAAGATGTTTTTAATTATAGTATTCTATCTACTACTTCTGAGTATAATGAATACTTTTCATCATCTTCTCATGAATTTTATTCAAAAGTTTCAATCTTACTTTTACTTCTGACACTGAGAGATACTTCATTCTCTGTATCTATTTAACATTCTGACTGTCTATTTCTCTCTTTGAAATATCATTCATAATATCACTGAGTAATGAAGAATTATATTCATAATAAGTATAGAAAGAAGATATCTTTAAGATTGTATTCTTTACATTGTTATATATGAATTCAGTGATTAGAAGATATTTAAGTCAATTATTCTGATAATATGAATAGAATACTTGAAGATGCTGTTCTAGTGTCTGATTCTGATATTCAGTCTAGTCATCAGTCTGCAGATGAAATACAGTACTGAGAAGACATTTTATTATAAGATAATAGTAAAAAGCTGATCAGTATTTACTAATAAAGAGAGATTCTTGATCTGTTATTAACAATTTCAGAGCACTGTGATCATAAATAATGATATTTAAAAATAGGTCAGTCAATTCAGAGGCTTTAATCTTTTTATGAGTAGAAATATATCTGATTATCTTCATGAAGCAGTTAATAATGATTAAAATTAAGTCATATTCTTTGACTCTTGTTGACTTCAGCAGATCAACTATGAAATTCATTGATAGATTCTGTCATGAGTTCTTTGAAACAGACAGTGATACTAACTCACTGTATTACTTATATCACAGAATCTTTATTCTTTAACAGATATTATAAGTTTCAATATACTCTTTGACATCTGTTCAGAGCTTGTCTCAAATATATTTATATTTTAGAAGCTTCTCAGTCTTCTCTAATCTGAAGTGCTCTATATAAGAATTATTATAATGAATTCTCAATAACTTCTGATACACTGCTCTGCTACAAGGAATGAAGACTGAATCATTCAGCAGTAGAAGTTCATATTCTTCTAGTTATCAGTAACTTGATTTCTTAGCAGTACTGCCCTGCTCAGAGCCTGTCTCTTTCAAGTTCAAACTGAACTCTTTCTTCTTCAACTTCTGAATTCAAGCTGCAGTAGAGATATCTCTCTTCTGTAACTTATCAATAAATTTCAAAAGTAGTTGAGTTGAAAGATTATAGACTATTTCATTCTTTGTCAATTCAATGATTGTAAGATATAATATGAGAAGCTCATGATCTTCAGTGTCAGTTTTCTGCAGAGATCTGAATTCTCTTTCATCTTCTATACTGAGTCATGCAGCTGTCTCTCCAGTGCTGTTTCTGAGCTTTAGAGAATCTCAACTCTCTGCAGCCAGCTTCTTCTGCAGTGATAACAGAGATTCTTTTATAGAATTCTTCTCTGTATCAATGATATTATAATCAGGCTGTTTAGATAATACATCAGCAGAGTTAAGCTAATCTGAACAGTATTAAATATAGAAATCATACTCTGAAAGCAGCTCTGCTCATCTGATTTGATGTTCTGTTAAGCTCTTTATTGTCAAGAAGTAATGTAGATTTGCATGATCAGTGAGAACTTACATTGAATACTTACTATTCTGAAGATAATGTTATCAGATCTTAAAGAATTCAACAATTGCTAACATCTTCTGATTATAAGTATCATATCTTCTCTGCATGAGTGATAACTTCTTGAAGAAGAAGGTCACTAATCTTCATTTACAGCATCTTATAGACTCTGTGAAAAAGTCTTCTTTCACAGATAATTCATTATCTATTTTCTCAGAAATGATTATTCTCTAATTCTTTCAACATTGAAAGGCCTCTGATGTTAACTATGAAAAGATTTCACAGATCTCATTCTCAGATGCATCAGTCTCATACTGACTGAGTAAGTCAGAATTAAAATGATTCAGTATTGTGATATCTGTGAAAGCTTGTTTCAATTCTACAAATATCTGCACAGTATCTTGAGTGAGAATAAATGATTCTGTTTTTCTGTCTTTCACACTTCTCTTTAACAGATCTGTAAGAGAGGCAGTAATCTGTGAATATGCATAGATGAATTATCTGTAGAAATTCATAAATTCTAGAAACACCTGCACCTTGCAGTATGTTCACAGTGCCAGCCAGTTCTCAATGACAGAGACTCAGCTTCTATTCATTGAAATGTCATTCATCTTAACAATATAATCTAAGAAATCAATCTTCTGCATGTAGAACGAGCATTTTTCAGTGTTTGTATAGAGTTGATACTGTCTCAAGTGACTCAACACTTCTTGAACATGAATATCATGTTCTTTCTCTGATTTTGAGAAGATTAAAATGTCATCCAGGTATACTATGCAGGAGATGTTAACAAGGCCTCACAGCATCTTATTTATATAGATCTGGAAGATGACTGAAGCATTACAAAGATCAAAAGATAAAACAAGATATTCAAAATTACTGTACTTGATATGAAAAGCTGTTTTTCAAACATTATCTTCATTAACTCTGATTCTATGATAGACATTCTGTATATTAATCTTTGAGAACATCTTTACTTCAGATAATTAATCAATCATCTCATTAATTAATAGTAATGAATAGTGATTCTTAACTGTCATCTTATTAAGGTCTCTGTAGTCTATGCATAGACATAGTCTATCATTCTTCTTGAGTACAAAGAGTATAGACATCTCTGTCAGACTCTTTAATGAATATATTCAGTTCTTTGATTACACTTCTTCAAGATATTTGTACAGAACATTCAATTTCTTTACAGACAAGTTGTAAAGAGATCTGTACAGTGTTATTACATTATCTTCAAGATAAATCTTATATTGTATCTTGATATTAGGAAACTTCACTGCTTCTCTTTCTGAAAAGACATTCTTAAAATCTGTAAAGAGACATCATATACATTCATCTTTAATAACAGATACTGCTGCTAATCTTGCAGCAAGAGTGATAACTTCTTTATCTATTTTCAAGTCTCAATCATCTGCTACACAGTATATTAACTCAATCTTTTTCTCAAGATTCTTCTAAAGAAACTCTTCAGATTTCTCTATCACTGTCTTTTCATTAGTGAGGTGATATCATCACATCTGAATGACTCAGTCAATGAGAGAATTGTTTTCTCTTAATTATAAGAGATCTAGAATGATGTTCTCATCTATGATGTTAACTGTATAAAGAAGCAGACTGCTCTTCTTAAAGGTTTCTTCTGAGTCTGTGATCACACACTTCACTTAAATTATGTTAAAATAGTGACATTTCATTTCATCAGTAAATTTCACATGATCTGATGAATCTATCTTCTTTCAACTCTTTATCAAAGAAAAGAAATAGAATATAAAGTTAATATTCACTCTGAAGTCAAGTAGACATCTCACTGATATCTTCTTATTTGAGATATACATTGTGATTATAACATGAACTCAGAGATATAAGAATTGTTAATTCTTTTCTTTCTCTTCTTTATCTTTCATGAATACATTTGTCAGAAGAGAAGTCAACTTTGAGAAGATATCTTCTCAGTTTCTTCTCTTCTTTAACTTCTTGTAATCACTGATATAGTGATCATCAGCTCTGCAGTTGAAACAGAGATCTTTGTCAAATCTTTTTTAATATTTCTTCACAGTGAGTGAAGAATCAGAATACTTAAAATTCTTCTTTACTTTCTCTATACTGAAGCTGTCACAGCACTGTTTAGATTCTATTATTAATTACTTAGAAGAGATCTTATTAGCCTTTTTCTCAGAGAATTGATTATTCAAATAGATTCAGAAAGCTAGATTAACAAGCTCAGTACAATTAGTTAATAAACTCTGATATTATGATATTATTATTCATATCTTATAAGTCAGCTTCATGAGATAAAGCTGTGTTTTTAATTGATTTAAATCATCAGTCAGTTTCTCTTAATATTCTTCAAATCTTGCATTGAAATTGAAAGAATTCTTATCATCTTATTAATATAATGAGTTGAATCACTGTGTCACTGTGAAGCTGTGATTGCAGTGATCTTTGATTTGGTTCAGTAGAAAGTTCTTGAATTCTTCCTAAGTCATGATAGTATTGATACACTCAAGCTCTCTCTTCTTAATGACTCAAGTAATCACAGAGATGCCTTCAAGAAGGTTGATGATGTATATTACTTATATCTCATGAGTATTATACTGGCTCAGATTAAGGCGGAATTTCCATTCAAGAATGCAGATAAAGCTGTGAAATTCAGACAAGATGTTTTTCTTGTATCTTGAAGAATCTTCAACCTTAATCTCTCTATCTCCATGATAGATGTAGGTGTGTAGGGGCTGCGGCGGTGGCAGAACAGTTAAAGAGCCCATGTCAAAATATGCAACAGGTTCAGGAATCTCAGATTCCTGCTGAGGTAGAGGTGTACACACTCTAGAGAATAGTGTAGTGTTTCTCTCAGAGAATGGGATCAGATCAGTCCCAGCATGGGTGCATGAGGCCATATTAGTCTGTTAGAGCTTGACTGATTCAAACATGTAATCAGGTTGAGTGATTCAAATTGTAACATGACAGAACTGAAGTGAGGACTAGTCAGTGACATCATATAGAAGTAGTTGTTTAAGAAGTCATATAAGTGAGCTTAACTATCTTGCTTGAATAATGAGCTTGTAGGCTACAGGGTTATTGCAAGGATATCACAGATATGATACTTAGTATACTAAGAAGATTGTATGAGACATGCAGTAACTCTTGTATATATTTCAGTAGAAGAAAAATGAATCACTGGCTTCTTTAATGAGGAGCCAGCATCTAGCTATTCTATATAGATAATGGGCGGATACCCTCCTCTTATTCCATGAGTGAGAATAGCCAGAGCAATACCTCAGCAGCGTCTCATTGCTAAGGAAGAGTAATCTGCTGACCTCATATAGAAGCAGGGTTCTCATATCCATCAATCGGATCTTCCTATGATATATTCGAATGATGTCATAGAGTGGTTGGAAACCGGTTCGGACGAGATGGAATCATCCGCATGGAAGTGATGGGCCGTGTGGAACCGCAATGAGGCCTTGGCGCGGCCGGGAGCGTGACAAAAATACATATTTCTACTTGAAAAATGAATATTTTAAGCTTTGTTTTAATCTCTTGAAAAATAATTATCATTCTGAATACTGAAGAGAAGTCACTGAAGTGATTCTTGTAAAACCTAATAGAAAAGCTTTAATTTCTAAGTTATATAGAGTAATATCTCTATTGAACTGTCTGAGAAAGATTTTAGAAAAGATAATAGTTACTAAACTATCTATTATAAGCTCTGTTAGTAATTCTCTTCTATTTAGTGAATAAATGAGAGATAGAAAACAATGCTCTGTAATTAACACTGTTCTCTCAGTTATTTATAATATTTAAATAGTAAAACATGAGGATCTGATCTCAAATTCAGTTTTTATTAATATAAAAGATGCATTTGATTATGTTTCAAAGTCAAAGATGATTCAGACTTTGAAGATATTAAAACTATCACTTTCTCTAATAAAGTAAGTTAACTATTTTATATCTAAAAGAGTCATACAACTATTCTTTGATGAGATGAAATAAGATAAGACTGAGATAAAAATAGAAGTATTATAAGAATCTTCAATCTCACTCATTTTATTTGCAATATACACTGCATATCTATTCAAGAATTGAGATATGAAAATAATAAGATTTTCAAGTTATGTGACTGATATTGATCTAGTCTACAGTTCAAAAACAATTAAAGAGAATTTAAAAGTAATTGAAAAAGTAATAAAGAAAATCTTTGTTAGAGCAGATATTAATTAAATTCAATTTAATATGAATAAAACTGAGTTAATTCATTTCTTCTCTAGATTCAATGAGAAAGAACTATATCTAATTCTTTTGAATAAAGAGATTAAACCCAGTTTACATATTAAATGATTAGAAGTATAGTTAAACTTCAAGTTGAATTTTAAATATTATATTCAACAAAGAACTATTAAGACAGAAAGATCATTAAATAGCATAATCAGACTATTAAATACAGAGAGAGATCTATTCTTCCAGACTATAAGACAGTTATACATAGTCTGTATCATCTTCTTAGCTGATTATAAAGTTCAAGTTTGATGAAATAATCAAGGAAATTTTACTGAACTATTTCAAAGTCTGTAAAACAGAGCTCTGAGAAGAATTCTAAGAGTATTTAAATCATTTTCTATTAAAGTAATGAAAATTGAAGCTTCAATTCCTTCTTCTGCTATTAGATTTGAAAAGACCTGTATGAACTATGCTCTGAGAGTTATAAAGATGAGCTTAAATTATATAATCAGAGAAAGAGTCTCTTCTTCACTTTCATCAATTAACTCAGGAAATGAACTAGAGTGAAATAGATTTCTTAATTGAAATGAAAATAATTCTTCAAAGAAAACGCTCTCTCAACTATATAGACTATATTCACTGATTAAAAATCAATTTTCTTTATTAAATGTTGAGAAAGTTGATTATGAGAAGATATCTCTCTGAAGAGAAAAGTCTGAATCTCTTATAAACTTTCAAATAAGTGAACTATCTAAAGAGAGAGAATATGAACAGTATTTAAAGAAGATCTCTATAATTAATATAAAAGACTCTATTCTGATTTACTCAGATAACTCTAAAAATGAGAATCTGAATATTATTATTATTATTATTATTCTTCAATTATAGATGTATGCAGTCAGAAACTATGACATCTACCTGAAAATCAAAAGTTCTCAGGGTTTTTCCTATATCTATAAAGATAACTATTATACATTCATCAATTTCAGATATGCAAAATCAGAAAATTCCAGCTCAGAATACAAAAACTGCTTACAAATTGCAGTGTTTTAACATTGTCTGATACTTTGAAACCATTTGACAATATCATGACAAAAGAAAAGAGAACACAGTCTTAAAGATAGACACATTAAATAGATAGATAGAAAAGAATAGAAAGGAAAAAGTAAAGTAAAATAAAGAGAGACTGTAATGAAACAAATTATCAAAAGATAGTATATAGCTGTTTTAACAGACTATATCTGATCAATTTCCTCCTCTTCATATTCAGATATTACTGAAATTAGTCATTTTCTTGTAGCTGCCTGAGTTTCTGATAGAAAGTCTATTAAGTATTTAATTCCTGTCTCAGTTGAGAATAAGAATCTCATATTTAATTGATTTAGATCATACTTCTCTTTCAATCTGACTCTGAGACTATTGTATAATGCACAGTGTATTACAATATACTCAGGATTCTCATTTGCATTGCAGAATGAGCATTCTATTGAATTAAATCTATCATCAAATCTTTGTATATAAGATTTGAAATAGCTATGTCCTAGTTTCAGCTGCATTATAGCTGAGAATATTTTCTTTTTACATTTAATTAAACAAGATTTTTACTTGAGTTTTATTTCAAATCTTGAATAATGTATACTCTTCTTTTATTTCTGCCAGCTTTCATTTCACTTGTCTAAACAAGATTCTTTTATTTTTCTCTTTATAAAAGATCAGGACACAATTTTTTGAATAGATCTGCT